CAGAATCAAAGAATTAATACATAATATAAGCTGAATTAATAGCCAATCTGCACTCCCATATTCATACAAACAAACAACAGCCAATGGCAATACGAAGAAGCCTTTCAAACAAACATCACAAGTAAGCTTTCAGAAGAGCCTATGTATATGAAGTTATAAACAAGAAGGAGAACCCAAAACTCATTTCTTTTCCATCCAAAATCACAAATCCCTCCAAAAACTTAAGTGCTTATTATCAAATTGAATAACTAAACAAGACTACCACACACTTCCTTAAGCTAGCAACAAAAATGCAATAGAAGAGACTCCACAGTCAAGACTAAAACCTTGCCACCTTAGTTCTTTCCATAAATTAGTAATGCCAAATCACTATTAATTTTCAAACTTCATACCTATTTCGGCATCTCAAGAAATCATCTAGTGAAAGGACTTAAAAAAAAAAATTTTTTTTTTTGAACCACCAACCTCAATTCCAAGAATTTCAGCATTCTCAGCTAAAAACAGAGTCAAATGACTAGTGAGATTAAAGGGCGCCGTAAGCCACTTCCCGGGTGGCACATTGAGCTGTCCGCTGCCTCTCTTCCCAAGCTTTGAAATTGCCGACACCGCCCTCTCAAACGCCTCTATGTTAAGCGTCACCCCATCTCCAACTCCCCCAAAATCAGTCAAATTGAACGCAACGGGCCGCAACCTCGGCATGGGTCGACCCGAACCCGCCCCCTTGAAGAACGAGAATCTAACCCCTACAGCATTCCGCTGCCAAAGAAAGACAGAGATGAACGCGGCAATCCAAAGAACAGCGAAAAGGGTCTTGTCATAAGTTGACAGAAAAGCCGGGACTAGCCGCTTTAATTCGAACCTCTGCTGGTGCAACTGAAACCGGCCGAGCGGCAGTATCTCCACCATGGCTTGTTTCAGGAGGTGGGTCGTAATGGGTTTTGGTTGGGCAACATGGAACCAGTAGATCTGTGGGTATAAGCAGTCATGATTTGGGTGAGACGTCAGTTATCAGAAGCAGTTGGGCATGGAGGTAGATTTTTTTAATGCTATGTTTGGCAACTTGAATTTGACAGTGTGTATTTGAATTTGAAGTGCTCAAATTCAATTTCACTGTTTGTTTTTACCTAAATAAAATGTAATTAAATTTGGGTGAAATACATGTATTTTAATCGAGTAATTCTCATGAGTAAATTACGTGTATTTCAATTTCACCCTAAAACCCTCGAATTTCAATTTTGAATTGAATTTGGTCTGCACACTCTTCTCACCGACGACGATGAGCCTTCACCGTCCGCCCTGACTCTGCCGCTGCTCTTGCTGCTCTCTCACCTTCGCGTCGTCGGCCACTCAACCTCTCCTTGATAGTAGGTTCTCAATCGCATGCATCTACCTGACTTTTCATCATCTCTCTCGATAGATCAGCGCCTCAGGTAATTCCTCTTCCTTCCTCAAATTTTTATTGATTTGCATATGACTACCTCCTAGATCAGCTCTATTTAATTCTGTATTTGGGTCAGAATCC